ATACTTATGATCCCCCTCGTTGACAGTTAATTTTTTTATAACCCCCCCTCCTCCTCTTTGGTGATAATTGACCCCCTTCCCTTGAAAATCGTGTGATCCCGCCTGAGTCCTGAAGAGGATGGCAAAGGGGGGAGGGGAGGGAGGAGTTCCTGATACCGTTTCATATACGAATTCTAAAATAATTCACGTGTCACTTGCATTCTGAACAGTATTTCACGTGGCACGAATTTATAGGGAAAAGCTCCAATATCTGCTGAAAATAAATCCCGGGAATGACCAGTCAAAACACTAAGGTCGTTCTCTGTTGGTTTTATCACGTGTCCGATCTTTTGGCTAGAACATACGGGACGAATAGTACGCCCTCATTTTAACGCAAAATGACATGTTATCTCTAATATCGTTAATTTACTTTAATGTAGCTCTATAATTATTTTCTGGTCCTAACAAGACGAACGTCCGTATTTTACATCGTCGTCAGAAATGACCACGTTAGGTAAGGTCTGAGAACAACAGTTTTCCTGATACTTTGAATAAACTCAAGAGGAAGACGGGAAGGGTTTTTGCAAGTCCTATGGTGAACCCTCCTCCAGCCTCATACTTCCACCATTTGAGACAAGTTGGACAATCTGCTTATGCTTGTGTCTCACTGGTCCAATTCGAAACTGTTGAGCAGCTACTCACGATACTTCTCTCTGTGTCTCTTTTGGAACTGTCTGCAGATCTACCAGCTCGAACTGTGTATTTTGGTCGTGCTTTTTTATTTAAAATTTCCTGCTGTAGCTCCGTCATGGTGAAAGAAATCTTTTTGGAAATGTCCAAGTAGAAAGAATCCACGAACACATTCATTTCCCCATCAAGAGCCTTCCGATAACTGCAGCTCAGTAGTCCTTTTCTAATTTATTAAATGAAAAAATAAACTGCTGGGAAAAAAAAAAAAAAGAAAAGAGAAAGTTCGTGCCCATGCTTTTCCTCAAAACATTAGAGAGATTGAACACCGCGTTTAAGTGAAACCGCAAACGTCAGCTTGCCTTTCCCCGTTTCAAGTAAAATAGCGTGAGCCTTGTTGCTTTACCTTCGCGTGAGCGCTCGTGATGAAGGATTTCAAGGCATCCTTGTATGACTTACAAGGAACAGTTTTGGTGCCCTTTTTCGGGGAATTAAATCCTACTCATTGCGAGAAAACAAATGAAGAAAATCTTACGTATGCGGCAAACGCGAAAGAGGTTACTTTCAGGCAGAAATGGCAAAGTGCAGCCGACAAGCGTGAAAAAATGGCAGGGGAAACAAGGTCACGTGGTCACTCTTACCGTTCGCATTTCATGTAAACGCGGTGCTAAATAACTGTACTGTCTAAAGAATTGATCTTAAGTCGAGAATAAAACTAAAATAAAACCAAAACTAATATATGTAAAAGAAAAAACAAAAACCAAAATATTTCGAAACAAGGACTTTTCCTCTTAGTTTCACACATTGAAACCTATCTCAAGCTTATTTGGATTGAGTACGTCGCTCTACGCGTCGTGTTCAGACTAAATAAGTCTGATCGGTCCTGACAGCGGAGAAACGCGAGCTTCTATACATATGATTGGCTTAGAAGGGTAGACCGCCCCACGGTTTCAAAAGCAATTGCAGAGCACACACCAACCAAAACAAACCAATACTGTTTCAGAATAGTTTTGGCACTCCAGTAAAAATTTCCCTAACAGCAGCATATCCCAGCCTTTACTCTAATCAAATTTAGTGGGGACGAAAGGTTGAGGAACTCGACAAATCTCTTTTTTACAAGCCATTGTTCAATTTTTTTTGCTTTTTTGACCCAGTCGGTCCCAACAGTATTATCAACGAATCAAATGGAAATGTCATGAGAATAATCCTCCACTTACAGTGCTAGATTAGACTCACCTTTGCTCCATAGAGAGTGACAGGTTTATACACAGTAACAAATGTCAGTGACGAAGCAATCGCACCAATCAGAATGGAGACAGCAATAAGTCCCGTGAGAATCCATATGATACGAAAAATACGGGCAGGTATAGAACGGGGCGATTGGTCTCCGTATCTGCAAGGAGTAACCCAAATTTATAAAAACNAGGTATCTTGTGGCGTCTTTCTTGCCGTAGATCGGAAAGCTAATCTGTTGAACATCATCGATGTCACTCGAGTACCTGAGTGAGTCCTGAGTGTTTACTTGAGTAATACATGACTAAGTACCTGGGCGGGTACCTAACTGATATCCTGAGCGATTAGCTAAGTGATTACTTGATTATCTTATGTTACAAACAACCCCAGTTATGCTTTATAAAATCAGATGAAAAGTCCACTGACAGAGTATTTCCACTTTTCCACAAGAATCATGTCGTTGCCCATAACTTCTTTACACAAATTATTGGTCAACGTCTCCAGATCTGAAAGTGAACATGGACGACAACAAGATGGAAGGGAACTTCAGCAGAGTTGTGACAGATATGATCTTTGAAGCTTGAGGCCTTTGCCCTGGTCACGGTAGCGCCACCATAATCAAGACTACTAGCAACGGTAAAGGCGAATATTCTGCCAAGACAAGTATAATCTCGGAAGTGCTTTCTTACTCAAGTACTTTCTCAGGTTCTCTATCAAGTTTATACTCAGGCCCTTATTTACTCATTAACTCACACTGGTACTTTCTCAGGTACTTAGTCTTGATATTCCCCTGCGAAAGCATATTTAATATACGGTCCCATGCCTTTGCAAGTAAAGGCTGCCATTCCAATTCTGTAAATCTAGAACGCCTGGACTCATTGTAGGGAATCCGAGAGATCCGTTGGCCTCAAAGTTAGCTGGTGTTCGTCTACGTTTAAGACTTTTCTCTCGGATGTTTGAACTCTTTCATATATCAAGGAGTAGCCGAGTAATATGCTGTTGGTGTGAGTTGAAGGGACTGGACTCCAGCTAACAGCAATGGATGCTTCAGATGTGAAGTTGTAGGACGTGAGCTACATAGGGGGTATGCTGCGAGCTTGAGTAGAGGGAAATAAAAAAGAAAAAAAAAAAAAAGAAAATCTTTGAAAAACAATTCGGACAAAAGAATGATAAAAAACCCACATCAGTGACATACCTAATAAAGGCGTTGTTGAAGATTTGTTTGTTTGTTTTGTTGTTGTGTGTGTGTGTGTGTGTGTGTGTGTTTTGAGACAAAATGGTAAACATTAATATCGGCGACAAGAAGAAGATAACAACAAGAAAGGAGAGATTAAAAGTAAATTTTGCTCAGATGTCGCCATTGGTAGACAAGCAACAGAAGAGCGCCGATTTGAAAGATTAACTTTTGTTCAAGAGTTTTGCGACTTTCCGCAAAGAGGTTGATCTGTAAGATGTTTGCATGTCGGTTGAAAAAGAAGAAGTTGACCTAAAGGATTTTTGCATAACTCCATAATTCATAAGGCATACGGTTACTTAATGCAAACAGTTCCCTGATATAAGATTTCACATTTGGGAATGCTGTTTTCTTTTAAATCAGTTTAAGGTTAGATGGAAATCTTTTCTTTAGATTTGAAAACATCTAACTAACTGTCCTCTGCAAAAAAAGAAAAGTGACGTAAGATCATGAATTATTTTTTCTCGTATTGTTTTATTAGTGTTTCTACTTTGAACTCCAAACTAGAAATAGCACGTGATTGCTCTAGCTTCCTCTTCCGACCTGTCACTTCAGTTGCACAATTCCGGCATGTGCCAAAACATTGGCCAATCGAATGCGTTGCTCGTTTCTAAAGAGACCTCCTCATTGAAAGAAGTCGGAAGAGACTGCTAGAGGTTTGCAGTCGCCACGCACATTATTGGAGCAGAGTCGTTTGCATTTAGGAACAGCTTTATTTTCCACTAAAGAAGTTGAGGGAGTAATTTTTTTCCAAATTAGTTACTATACTGTGAGACCATTCTACTAGTATGGTAAGTTATAATTTTAATTAATGCCCCAATGTTTACAGAGCTTTTCACGGTTTTTCTTTCTTTTTTTGTTGTTGTAATACATGGCTTTTGTCTTCTTTTTCTATATTTTGTCATTCACTTCTCCCAGAAACAGAATCCACTAATATTTGTAGCGTGCTGTAGATATGCAATTAGGTTTCATATAGCTTGTTTGTCTAACAATGACAATTGTTTCTGCTAAGAGTAAAGGACAGTAGGGGAGGAGTGGGAGGGGGTCGCTTGAAAGAATAAAGTCTGAAAATTCTTCAGGCAATATTTTAACGACTCCATGAGCGTTTACTGCAGATTTTTTGCCAAGTACGAGTTAGTGAAAAAAAAAAAAATTCATATGTTATTGTTTTGGTTATGGCTACGGCTACGTGAGTTATAATCTTCTTCCCACAGAGTCCATAATAAATGTTATTTTTGTTAAAGATTATACATGGATAATTGTCATAGCTCGAAGACAATATTAATGTGATCCAAAACACGGGAGCAAACACAACTTTAATAGTTACAAATGCTAACAACCATCGCTAATAATCCCGCGGCAATAGCGAGAGAAGAATTATTTTTATGCAAAACTAGCTTTATTCCTGATTAATTATTGAACTTGAACGGAAGATCTTTGAACGGAAGACCTTTTGAATTATAGATGTCACCAAGAGCTGTCTTTCCAAACATAATTTTGTTTTAATAATTCAACAGACACGCTAACGGTGTAGTTGTTTAAGAAGGCTCTCTCATAGATAGGTTCTTTCAATATTCCCGAAGAAATAAGAAAAAAATTTTGAGCCCGTATGAAACCTTTTTTCGTAAGTGTCACATCTGTGTTTCGTGCATCAAGTTTGCTTTGATGGACACTAACACTGTGTTTATTTCTCAACAGTGCTTTTTGGTCTTACTGTGTCTTCTTTGCCAGTTGCAAGCTAGAAAAGGTATTTCAAACTCTTGATGATGTTCAACTTGATACCAGAACCACAAGTTAACATTTTTCAGAATATCCCTTACTCCATAGAATAGGTTTGGATCGAAATTTTATGTGATTAAAATTGTCGTGATGGCAATGAAACTGTATGCGTTAAGCTTCCATGCAACTCAACGGGAACGGAGCTTAATAGAATATAGCAAACAAACAAAATACGCGGCGTTTTAAGTGTTTTTCCTTTGCTTTTAAATAATTTTCGATATGCCGCTATTTCTGTAATCTCCTTCACCCACATTTTTAGCAGTTTTTCTAGATGTTTTCTAAATCAGCACCTGCTTTATTTCTATTACTTCCAGCCCGTGGACACAATTTTTTATAGGTAGGAAGAAAGGTTTCGCTTCAAAATAAGTGCGAATTCAATCATTTTTTAGAATAAAGTTATAGGCTTTTATAATATTTTACGAAAACTGTAAATGACGCGTGCATTCATGAAATTCCTTAAGAATAGCACCTTTTATTTAGCAGCCGTATTGTTTTGTAAGAAAGACCACTGCTCGACGAAAAGAAGATATGACATACCTTGAGATTTAACACTGAAACATCACCAATTTCATCAACAGATCCATACGAATCGCACCCCCGTAAAAATGACGCCTCTTGTGAAAGACGCGGAAATTCTCCATAAAAATAGCTGAAGAATAGACATTTTGTGTCGACGTACAAAAATCGCGTGTAGTGACTCATTTTTTCCCGAACAATTATCACAGTTCATATCTTCTCATATCATCCAACCCAAGGAAGTCAACCCGACGGGACTTGACTTGACTTAGCTAGCGGACCAAAAGCTCACGTAAGAAATCGAGATACTCATCCAGTAAGAACGACGCAATTAATTTGCAATTTACTGAAGTCAGTCCTAGTTCAGACGCCGTACCTCAGTCGAGCCGAATCGAATTCAACTTTAGGCTGACCGAAATTAGTTAATCCTGGTTGAATTGAGTCAGACGCCGAACTTATTTCGGCTGAACTTAATTAACTGAAGACATTTGTGACCGGCGGTCGGCGCAATTCAAAGTAACAAAGTTGTTAAGTGTTATCATGATAAAGAACGAAAGTTATTTGTGTGGTATGGTCATTGTAAGAAAGTTTTAAATATTTTATATTTGGTCAAGTGTTTCGGCGCGACCAAGTTTACTTGCTTGAAATGAGAAATTCCAATACTCAATAAATGTTCAATTTTTGAAGAAAACAACGATTACCATGCTGGAAAAAGCGTCGCCTTTTGCGAGCGATACACAAAAGAGGCGGGATAGGACGTTGCTGACGCAGAGGACAACTACATGATGCCCAAAGAACCGACAGAGCGACGAATCAGTGTCAGTGCGAAGGGTGTAGAATTGGGCGCCCAGTCAATAACTGTCAACATCGTTTTTCTTGGCCCGTCAAGCCGTCATTTTTCTTCTACAACACTCCTTTGCTCATGCTCACATGCAAAAACGGCAAGAAAAATACATTAAGATCATTTGTACATTGGATTCGGCTCATATGAAGTACGGGCTAAAAGTTTCTAAACTGTGGTGCTGTGTCGGTAGGCGTAACAAGGTAATTTGGTTGTATCAACTAGGTTGAAATTGTAAATTGGCCACCGTAACGAATAAAAAAGGCTGACGTTTCGATCGTTAGCTCTTCGTCAGAGCGAATGGTTTCAATGATCTGATCTGGCAAACTTTCTTTTCGTTGATGTTGTTGCCCACATTCGCTTTCTCTGTAATTACATGTTTCTTTACTTCTTTGTTTCGTGCTTCCACATTTGACCTAAATTAGATTATTGACGGATGTCAAAACAATGGTGCTAGCCAATCTCTGGCTACAGATCCATGCAACTTTTGATCATCCACAAAATATTGTCTTTGTTAATTTACTGCAAAATTGTCTCAAAATTGTTTGAGATTGTACACAGAAGTGATTGACGTACGCAGGGCACCGGGCTGATCATTTGAGTCACGGTTCAATACGCCGTAGTGTAACTTTCAATTTCAGTCACGCCACTTGTTTAACGCATGAGCAATTTAGTACTAGTGCTCTTTTCGAGTTTTTTTTTTCCTTTTATTGGGCTTTCTGGGCATTGAAAAATATTTCCTTGTATTTTGGGGAGCTCAGAACAATCAGTTAATGTGTTCCCCATTTGGAGGTAGGAGGTCGAAAAGAACAATGTATGTAACCATTTAGCTTGTGCACTTTTCCCAATAACAAAGAAATGCATTTTTTGGTGTGCTTAACAAATGCTATTCAGAAAAAGGAAGGTAATAAGAAATTTTACGCCTGTGCTCTTTAGGAGGGTGGCATGAAGCGTTGAGTGACAAGACTAAAACCAACGACTGCAAATGAGACCATGTGTTAAAAAGTAGTAGCAGAAAGTTTTTTTAAAATTTTTTTATTCAATGACTGTCACGAAAATATTAACTGCTCCAAGTATTTCCAGTTTTGCCCTATAGGCAAATAAATAGCATAAGCCACCAAGAGATAATTTATTTGTTGAAAACAATGACTAAATGTTCATCAACACGCCTAAAAGCTTCCAGGGAGGGAAGGAAAGGCATGTTAGTGACTTGAGCAAAATATTCCTCATTCCTTTCATTTTCCCAGGAAGTTCCAGTCACAAGACAGACACAGCTGTGACTACAATTACAAATGCACGAAGAACAAGCAGGCCTCCATCAATAATTAAAAGTGAGTTTAGGAAAATGATCTGTGGTTTAAATACAAACTGGCCATTAAGACTCAGGAAAAGGTAACCACGGCCACTTAAAAGAAATGACTACTTAAAGTGCACCTAGACCCAAAAATTTTTTTTCACTTAACGAAATAAGCTTATTTTTTGGAGTATTTCTGAGCAAAAATTTTTTAATTTGCTTAAATCTTAAATTTTCTGTGCCTAGTCAAAATACGGAAAATCGGCCGCCATCTTGCCCCACGGCCGAGTTTAAAGAGGAATGGCTCTAGCGGGTANTAGAGCCATTCCTCTTTAAACTCGGTCGTGGGGCAAGATGGCGGCCGATTTTCCGTATTTTGACTGGGCACAGACAATTGAGGATTTGAGCAAATAAAAAATGTTTGCACAGAAATACTCCAAAAAATACGCTTATTTCGTTAAGCGAAAAAAAAATTTGGGGTTTAGGTGCACTTTAATGAAGGAAAATGTCAGTGACTTGACCAAAATATTTCTCGTTCCATTCATTTTCCTAGGAAGTTTCAGTCGCAAGACAGAGACATCTGTGACAAGATCTACAAATACACAAACAACACGTACGCCTCCAATAACCATTAAAGGTAATTTCATAAAAGGAATATGTGGCTTAGATACAAACAGGCCATTGGGACTCAGGAAAAGGTAACCACGGCCACTTAAAAGAAACGACTGCTTAATGAAGGTAAATGTTGGTGACTTGAACAAAATATTCCTCATTCCTTTCATTTTCCTAGGAAGTTTCAGTCCCAAGACAGAGACTTCTGTGACAACTTCTACAAATACAAGAACAGCAAGTAGGCCTCCATCAACCCTTGAAGGTGAGTTCATAAAAAGAATCTGTGCCGTTAAATACAAACAGGCCACTGGGACGCAGGAAAAGGTTAGCACGGCCACTTAAAAGAAATGACTACTTCGTGAATGTAAATATTAGTGACTTGAGCAGAATATTCCTCATCCCTTTCATTTTTCTAGGAAGTTGCAGTCCCAAAACAGAGACATCTGTGACAAGATCTACAAATACACAAGCAACACGTACGCCTCCATTAACCATTAAAGGTAAGTTCATAAAAGGAATTTGTGGCTTAAATATAAACAGGCCATTGGGACTCAGGAAAAGGTAACCACGGCCACTTCTAAAGAAATGACTACTTAATGAAGGAAAATGTCAGTGAGTTGAGCAAAATATTTCTCGTTCCATTCAATTTCCTAGGAAGTTTCAGTCCCAAGACAGAGACATCTGTGACAAGATTTACAAATACACAAAGAACACGTACGCCTCCATTAACCATTAAAGGTGAGTTCATAAAAAGAATATGTGGCTTAAATACAAACAGGCCATTGGGACTCAGGAAAAGGTAACCACGACCACTTAAAAGAAACGACTGCTTAATGAAGGTAAATGTTGGTGACTTGAACAAAATATTCCTCATTCCTTGCATTTTCCTAGGAAATTTCAGTCCCAAGACAGAGACATCTGTGACAACTTCTACAAATGCACGAACAGCAAGTAGGCCTCCATCAACCATTGAAGGTGAGTTCATAAAAAGAATCTATGCCGTTAAATACAAACAGGCCACTGGGACTCAGGAAAAGGTAACCACAGCCACTTAAAAGAAATGACTACTTAATGAATGTAAATATTAGTGGCTTGAGCAGAATATTCCTCATCCCTTTCATTTTTCTAGGAAGTTCCAGTACCAAGACAGAGACATCTGTGACCAGATCTACAAATACACAAACAACACGTACGCCTCCATTTACCATTAAAGGTAAGTTCATAAAAGGAATATGTGGCTTAAATACAAACAGGCCATTGGGACTCAGGAAAAGGTAACCACGACCACTTTAAAGAAACGACTGCTTAATGAAGGTAAATGTCGGTGACTTGAGCAAAATATTCCTCATTCCTTTCATCTTCCTAGGAAGTTTCAGTCCCAAGACAGAGACACCTGTGACAACTTCTACAAATACACGAACAGCAAGTAGGCCTCCATCAACCATTGAAGGTGAGTTCATAAAAAGAATCTGTGCCATTAAATACAAACAGGCCATTGGGACTCAGGAAAAGGTAACCGCGGCCACTTAAAAGAAATGACTACTTAGTGAATTTAAATATTAGTGACTTGAGCAGACAGAATACACAAACAACAAGTACTCCTCCATCAACCATTAAAGGTGAGTTCATAAAAAGAATCCGTGGTTTAAATACAAACAGGCCATTGGGACTCAGGAAAGGGTAACCACGACCACTTAAAAGTAATGACTGCTCGATGAAGGTGAATGCTAGTGACTTGAGGAAAATATTCCTCATTTCTTTCATTTTCCCATGCCAGGAAGTTCCAGTCCCAGGACAGAGACATCTGTGACTACATCTACAAATACACGGACAACAGGCAGGCCTGCATCAACTTTTCAAGGTGAGTTAATGAAAAGAACTTGCGGCTCAAATACAAACAGGCCAATGGGACTTTTGAGAAGGTAATCTTGGCCACTTAGAAGAAGTGACTGTTTAATGAATATGAATGTTAGTTACTTGAAGAAAACAATTCTGGAATCGATTGCTTCTCGCACATTGTATGCAAAGTGGTTTAAAATGCCTTTTAGTTCTTTCATAGAACTGAATGATTGATGCTTTAAGTTGAAAGTTATCATGGGGGCAAACAAAAGTTATACTGATCGTGGATGTATGCGTTTAAGCTAGTCTGAATGGAGTATTGCAAACAAAAGAAATAAGCAAAATTTGCAAAGTTCCAGTACTAGACTCTTTTTCTAAAAAAAAATGGAAAATGCCGCAATTTTTAAATAACCTATTTAACAAAATTTTCTCTAGTGTGAACAATTTGGGCCACACATCGCTGACCTCTCATCAACATTTTTTTCATAAACTTTTCACGATATGATACATATCAGCACTTGCTGATATTCTTATCATCCAGAAAAAATGTTTTTACTTTTTTTGAACGTGACTTCATTAGAAGAGCGAATTCAATCCCTTTTTATAGTGAAAAGTGCAAAATTGAATGCGGTGGACGCATCTCTGAAATTTCTTAAGAATTGTGCCTTTTGCTCAATGGCTGTTATTGTTCAAAGTGAAGACCCAGCTTGGTGAAAAGAGGTAATTAAGTGCATAGACTACTTCAATAAATTAGCCCTTTAACTTCTACTGAAAAAAACATTTCCCTAACGCTGAAAAGCTGAGAAACTCTGATCTTGTTCATAAAGAGAATTAACTAAAAAAAAATTGTGGAAAGTAATCGTGACGAAATCGCTGTTATTTTTCTTGAAGAACTTGAAGCAATCCAGATTACATATTACAAGTCCAGCACCCTTACTACTCGGCCACTCCTACTTCCACTGGGCATATGGGCGCTGAAGCGATTTTCGGTCGGAAAAAAAAAAAATTTACAGTATAAATGTTTTAAAAGACCAAGCTTGTTTCGAAAAATCAAGCTTGTTTCGATTACTTTGAGACTGAGGCACATTCACGGGCAAAGTTTGAAAGAAATTGATATTTTGAAACAAAACGCATCGAGCCGCTTTTACATAGACTGCCGCTTAATAAAGGGGAATGTTAGTGACTTGAGGATAATAGTCCTCATTCCTTTCATTTTCCTAGGAAGTTCGGTTTCCAACACAAAGACATCCATGACTACATCTGCAAACACGGGAACAACAAGCAGGCCTTTATCAACCATTGAAGGTGAGTTCATGAAAATTATCTGCGTCTCAAATACAGACAGGCCATTGGAACTCAGGAAAGGGTAACCACGGCCACTTAAAAGAAACGACTGCTTAATGAAGGTGAATGTTAGTGACTTGAGGAAAAAAATTCTGGGCTAGGTGACTGCTCGTACATGGTATGTAAAGCGGTTTAAAAATGTGGTTTAATTCCTTCATAGTTGATTGATTGACACTTTAAGTTGTAAGTTATCTTGTGGGTAGACAAAAGCTTTACTGATCGCGGATTTATGCCTTTAAGCTAGTCTAAATGGCGTAATGCAATCAAAAGAAATATTAAGCGAAATTTTTGAAGTTCCACTACTAACTTTTTTTCTTGACCTCTTTGGTAAACTTCTTCAGCGTAAACAATTTGGGCCACAAATCGCTAACCCCTCATCAATATTTTTTTTTTTATCAACTTTTCAAGATATGATACATAACAGCACTTGCTAATATCATTTTCCTCTCCTAGAAATAAGTTTATTTACTTTATTGAACGTGAATTCATAAGAAGAGCGAATTCAATCCATTTTTGCAATCGAATTACAAAGTTGAATTTAGTGGACGCATCTCTAAAATGTTATAGGAATCGTACCTGTTATGCAGTGGCTGTAATTGTTCAAAGTAAAGGCCCAGCTCGGTGAAAAGAAGTAATTAAGCGCATAGACTACTTCAATAAACCAGCGTTTTAACGACAACTTAAAAAAAAAGCCATTCATTGACGCTGAGAAGCTAAAATACTCTGATCTTGCTCATTACGATAATTAACTACATGAAGAGCTGCAGAGTTTTCAGAGTCAATTGTATTTCTCAATGAGTTCATACCTCTAATCGCAATTATTTTACTGTAACACTGCCATTACTTCAAATTTTCAGATCTAAAAATATATATCAGACCACAATGCTGTTTGCTCCTACTTCAGTTATCAAATTTAACAAATAAAAAGCTTTGACTGTGCTCTGTTCCGTTGTAAAGCATCTGGGGAGCGGCTACAGTATGAAAGAGGTGTAGGGGGAGACATGAGACGTAGTCCGCGAGTGTTTCGTCCTACTATTTGAGTACTACAACCGCCTTCTTGGTGCTTTACAACAGAACATAGCACCATGAAGGCTTCCTTTTTTTATTTTATAGTAAAGAATCCGCCAAATTCCTCTCGTATTTCTTTCCATTTTCAAAATAAATTAAAATTTTTGAGGCGAAGATAAGTGCCGTGAGCATATTTCATATTCTCACGAAGCACACCTACATAAGCCAATAAGAATCATTGTTGAAATGGTGCAAGTTTTCTGTAAAGCTGTCAAAAACGTACAACCATTACAGTTCACAAAACATGAAAGTTCGCAATCTGCAAAAGTTCACAAACTGAAATAGCTCGGTAGGTTGAATTCAACACTTCTTCCTGTGGTTTTCATACAGAGTCTGATACTGAAATGTTTAGCTATAAATCAGGACCAATTGCGGCTCATTAAAAGACGCATGTTTTTTTCGCATTACAATAAAGAAACAGACTGCTAAGGATTGTGTTTTAGAAATGAACGACAGTCGAATTCAAGAGAAGATGAAGATTTCTAGGAACAATAGCGTTGGTTAATTCTTTCATCCGATTTATGTTCTTTTCTGTGTGATCGCTCCTTTTACGCCACTTTCAAACTATGTATATTTTCTTGCCCGATTGTCATAAACAGACTACTGGCGAAGATTAGTGTAATCCATATTGGAGCCTTGACTTGTTTGTAGATCCCTGCTTAAAGAAGCCTTGCACGAATGGCGGATCTTGTAACAGCAGATCTGAGGGATTCCACTGCATTTGTCACTGGGGATTCTCAGGGAATGACTGTGCCATTAAGGGTGATGTATAGTTGAGGATTCTATTCCCCAGTCATTCATCGAATGAGCGCTGGAAGTTGTTCATCCATGAACATTATAGCTAGTATAGTAGGTCTGTTTTAATCTCTATTTCTTTTATTGATTTTATATACCTCACAGGATGTCGCAGACCTCTGGGTATGCAAAGTGGTGCAATCGAAGATTGGCAGATCAGTGCTCGTGACCATATCTATAAACCCAGTCCTGGGAGACTGCTTCTTGATGTGGCAAGAAGGGATGGGGACGCTTGGAAACCCTACTGGAGTTATAGAGGCGTATGGTTTCAAGTTTACCTCCATAACGAATATACTTGGGTAACTGGTATAGCCACACAAGGAAGCGTAACAACATACTTCCTGCGTTATTGGGACCATAGAGGTCGTTGGTACAAGGAAAAAGGACAAAGATATGCCAAGGTGAAGCAATTATTATGAGTCGTATTATGATTTTCTTATAGCACTAGCAACATGCAAAGAGCTATTTCCCAAAATCTGTGCATTTGAAATACAGTTCAAGCTGCAAATTTGGTTTTTATGAGTCGTGTTATGAGTTGCATTATGATTCTCCTATTGCACCAGAGCCCAAACATGTTGAGAAATATTTCCGAGAATCTGTGCATTTCAAATACTTTGAGCTGCAATTTGGTTTAGAACTTCCCACCGGTCTGATGAACAGCAGGGGATTACTCAAATGACTTATTAAGTAATATAGAAATCGGTGGACATCGAAATTGACTCTTCAACTAAGATTATAAACGACCTCAAGCTGGAAAAACAAGCTTGCGAGCGAACGATCTTTCAAAATCGCAAAAATGCACAGCACAAAAATGATGCAAAAGAGTTAAAAGGGTTTGAGGTTGGGATAAAGCTATACTTTGTGGAAAACTCTAAAAGTTTTTTTTTTTTTGTTTAGCGATAATTACTACGATTGCAGAGGCGGTAGTTGGGTATTTTTCTAAAAATTTCGATTGAGAAAGCCTACACATCCCAAACTATTATATGCCAGCAAGGAATTACTAAGCGATCTCGAAGTGATTTATAAATATCATGTCAAACGCTCGGTCACGTCTAATGCAAGGCTCATAGCAAGGAGTGAATAAGGCGTTCCATCACCGCCAAAATTCAAACTTAGTCCTCTATCCACGCATACCATCATTCTCTGGCAACATTCAAATATTCAATTGAAATATTCAACCCCCACTACAACATTCATGTCAGGCGTTTAAAATACGTTCACAACATTCAAACATACACTCCAAACATTCAATCAATCAAGTGAAACATTCAAAGCAGGCATGCAACATCCCCTTACAACATTTTGGACATGCAATTTAAACAAGCGGTTATTCAATTTCAACTTTCATTTGGACATTTTCTCAAACACTCGATTATTCAATCTGAACTTTCAATAGGAATATTTAATCCAAACATTCAATTCGAACATTCGATTCAAACATTCGATTATTCAATTCCAACATTTAATTCGAACGTTGAATCTAAACATTAAATTCCAACATTCAATTCGAACATTCAATTCAAACACTCGAACGTTTAATCCAAACATTGTAACGTCGTTCCTAGAGTCATCCGACCAACATCTGGGATGTTCGGCAGGAGAAAGGCGGGAAAGAGAGGAGTCATATCCAGAGGTTGCGCGTCTGGCCATGGTTGATAGAGGGGAACTCTATTAACTATGGTGCGACTTACAACATTTTTCAACGTTTCCAGCGATTTTTCTGACGATTTATGTAAGGTAAGATATAATTTATTGCTATCAATAGTTTGCATTTCTGAACTATATTGTTTCTGTTTAAGTTTTTTTTGGCTAGTGATCTGCGGACGTTTGTACTGTACAATCCATGTTGACGTCGCTGATTTTACGCGATTGCTACAGCTTGCGAAAATTGACATAAATTTCCTCCCTTACAGGTGTAGTATGTTCCTAATCGGTTGTGAATACTTATCAATTTCGGTGGCTAAAATTGTGGATCGTTTTTATTATCCCGCAATAAAAAAGATTTATGGAAAAACCATGCATGTTCAGCGAGTGAGGTTAAGAAACTAGGAAGGCTGTCATTAACGCCGTGGGCCTGGAGTGTTCCCCTGTATTTAGGCATACCCCCAGCTACTATGATATAAAACCAGAATGTTGACTTCACTACAGCAACTTGAATCCCCGGCTATTTTTTTCTATATCCCCACGTACTTTAAACATTAGTGACAGCCCTGAATGAGATGTTGTTGGAGATTAATAAAGTAGTCATCCGTCTGAGCATTAGCCCACGCTTCAGATATATTTGTTGAAGTGTTGTGCACAAATCTGCAGAGCCCAGTACGGATCTGCTTTATTGGAGTACATTTGTGGCACACCAATATTAATTTAGTATTTCTTATGTTTTTTTTTTCTTGACCTCACTCGCTCAATGATTTTCGAACGTTCAAATTGAATGTTTGGATTGAATGTTCAAATTAAATAGTCGAATGTTTCAATTGAATGTTGGAATTGAATGTTTAGATTGAACGTTCGAATTGAATGTTTGAATCGAATGATCGAATGTTTGAGTCGAATGTTCGAATTGAATGTTTGGATTGAATATACATATTGAAGGTTCAGATTGAATAATCGAATATATGAATGTCGAATTGAAAGTCGAATGTCCGAAATGAAAGTTGGAATTGAATAACCACTCGTTTAAATTGCATGTCCAAATGTTGTAAGTGGATTTTGCATGCCTGCTTTGAATGTTTCACTTGATTGATTGAATGTTTGGAGTGTAAGTTTGAATGTTGTAGTGAAGGGTTGAATGTTTCAATTGAATATTTGAATGTTGCCAGTGAATGATGGTATGCGTGGATAGAGGGCTAAGTTTGGATTTTGGCAGTGATGGAACGCCATAAATGAAGGATGTTGCAGATGTTGACACAGAAGTAGTAATTGCGCAAGGTCGACTGCTGGTCACCGCTCTCAAATAACTAAATGACCGGCGATAGGAAATGTTTCGAAGATTTCAGAAATTGAGACAACTTATAAGATCCAAACTATTATATGTCGATGAGGAACTGCTGAGCGACCTCGAGGAGATTTATAAATCTCAAATCAAGCCAGCGATTTACGCTGACTCAGAATACTATTTAGGTCATGCGAATACAGTAGAACCCCTCAAAACCGGACACCCTTAGGACCGGAGGAAATGTCCGGTTTAGCGGGGAGTCCTGTGTACTGCGGTTTTACCCATAAGGAAATTGTATGAAGCATAATGTACAGTCTGACTGTAAGTGCCAGTACATAGTACACGAGCACTAATAAAGCACATTAGTAAAGGAACTAAACTAACAACATGGATCTCAAGGAAGCTTTTCAAAGTTATTTTATTTGATTTACAAAAAAGTTCACTGTTACACAAAGAGTAATATGATCAACAAGTACAACAGCTTTTCTTTATTAAAAAAACTCTCTTTTTCTGCACAATAGGAAATGTATAGAGAAGAGTAGGGAGAATATACATACTGATGTTAAGGCGTAAAGGGTTAAGAACACATAAACGGACTACTCTTAAGTTTCCTACAGTTGATTAGGGATGTAAAAGTTGGAGAGATTGTGGCAAGCAGAATTCTCAGCGTTTAGAACACTTCCTAAATTAAGCATCTCAGTTCATTGGGAGTTTTGTCTTGTACCATTGGAAAGTCGACGTCGATTCCTAAGTCTTTAACAAGCTTTTGAATTGTTTGTGAAAAAAACCTACAGGGAGCCACTTATATCTTCCGCCTTCCAGCTGCCATCGTAAGCACGTTTTCAAGACTATTCCTTTTTGAGTAGCCACAAGATTGAAAAGAAATTGCTCTGAGGAAATTTTTCTTGCCGAGAGAACAGCTGAGTACAAAGAGTACCTTGTTAGTCAAGGGTATCCCTCTAAATTAGTTTCTGAGCAATTCTCCAAAGCCTCCGCCATTCCTAGAAAATATTTACCATGGACTCGTAGAAAAAGGAACGAAGAAACTATTTCCATTTGTTATTACATTTAATCCAAACCTACCCGACGAAGGCAACATAATCAGGAAGCATTTGTTCATTTTACAATCCAACTCTAAATTGAAATAACTCTTTCCTCGAAATTCTTCAACCATCTTTTCTTCGGTCAAAAAATCTCAAAGAATTAATTGCACCATCTCGTTTTCAGACGATAGGAAAAGATGCGACGTATGTCAGAATTTCTTTGTTGAGTCTAAATAATTTTTCAGCTTTCTAACATGCACATAAAAGTTAAGCCATTCACCGCAGACTTTCTTGTTATTTACTTGGCTTCTTGCAAGAAATGGCGCCTGCAATACATGGGATCTCCTGTAACCAACTTCAGAATTAGGTTTCGAAATCACAAATCTGCTTTGCTCACAAACAACACAACTTGTGAAGTAGCTATACACTTTACCAGACCTCCACACACCCCTGGTGATTTTTTCGTCCTAATGTATTAATCAAGTACAGGCCCCAAGCGGCTCTGAAGAGATCGATGGGCTTTTAATCACAAAAGAGGCTTATCAAGTTGGAGTGCTCAGCTGTTCTCCCTTGCACTCCATGGTTTGAAAAAAAATAAAGGAATTTCATTCGAAAAACAGAATTTGCTTTAATCAATTTTCCATCCCACAGTAGATATTGCTGATGAATCGTGCAAGGGCCCTTTTTCTCGGATTTTGTCAACCTTTTAGGTCTTGATTAGACTCAAAAGGCCCTGCCAAGGGATTTTATTATGATTAATATCATTTAATGGCCCCTCGAGGGATTTTGTTGCTAATTTACCCTTTCGGGCTCCAAAGGCCATGTTTTGCGATTTTGGTACGATTTATAATGGTAGGTAAAAGTGGATCCACCCTTTTCTTAGGCTTGCCTCATTGCCTCTTCAATTACGCTATTCGTTTTACCAGATTTTTTTTTTTTTTTTATAATTTAGTTTTTAGATTTTATCTCCTGTATTTTTTCCATTGTTTTCTTTGTACCTTGGTTTTTTTGTAATCTTTTTTTTAGCACCACTTTCTGCTCTTTCACGTAATTTTCAATCCAATTCATTAGTCGTCACCTGTAACTACGCAATGACTAGCACCTCGATCTTATTTACAGCTTTCTTATTTAAAAGTTGTAAATAACTGAGGAAGGTCTCTGACCGAAACGTTTTTATTAAACTCTTTATCTTTTTACGCCAGAAGTTGTCCATCTTCGCATTTCTTTTTAACTCTCTACGTTCGTTTGCTGTGAGGTTTGGACTGCAAATCTCTACTGAACCTCCTGGCACGGTGCACCTTTGTTGGCCTGAGAGTTCTACCAACGAATTATATATATATATACACCCGTTTATATATATATATATATATATATATAGGAAGTAGAAGCTTCTGAGGGGTCCCACAAACCCACAAACAATGCTGATCAGTCTCAAACGCGCTGCCTGGAGGATCACTGAAGCGATCGTGGGCTCTTGAAATAACGTAAATAAGAGCAGAAATGTAATGGTCAAGAGGCCAACTCCAATGTAGCTTTGTTGGTTTATTAGCTCGACCGTCTCGGTCTTCCTTCGACGTTTCGACCGTCTCGGTCTTCCTCAGGAGCATACTAATTACAT